TAAGGTCAATAGCGCTAAATTGTTTGCACTTTGTTATATTCAATGTAACATACAATTATCTTAGGCAAAACGTATGGGTATTTAGAAATTATAAAGATTCTATGATTTTTTCAGTGGAAGGATGAAAGAGTATATTATCGATAGATATATTATTGGAAAAAACAAATTTATTTTTATGAGAAGGAGTTAGTCGAGGGTGCGGTCAAATAAATAAAAAAATTAAAATATATAAATTATTTTAATTTTTGCCAAAAATTTATTTTTACTTTCACTTACCTATATATAAAACATATATTAAGGAAAGTATTACGATCGTGAAAATTTTCAAATCTCAGTTTTCAACGGAAATACACATTTCGAGGTCCCCTGAGACCAAATAAGTAAGTCCCACAAAATGGTCTTTGTGTATTTATTTTAATAGTTTTCTCTAAACCTAAGACTACGACTATTGTACTCACTCCTTGCAAGAAATTCGAAATTAAAACTTAGACAGAAATTGAATACATATACTTACCTACTCAAGCCTATTTGGACCTACGCTTTACAGATATATGGGACAGCCAAAAAGATTCACATATGTAAATTACAACTTTTCAATCCAAAACTTTCAGGACTATCACCAAAGCTTTCTGGTACGTCAGTAACATTACTCTACATAAAGACTTACAGATGCCAACAGTTAACGAACACATACGAACATACTACAAAAGATTTCATAATAACTTACACGGACATACAAACTCATTGATTCGAGGCATGGCCACAACTAACATGCCTGATAACACCCGAAGGAGGCTTAAAAGAAGCTGGATGAGGAATCTCCTCCACTAACTATAAATATTACGCTCAAGATAGGAAGGACGCCGCTGGGTACTCCTCTCCCTCAGACCTATTCCAAGACCAATCTCTACATCTTGACATCACACTCGCTGATTGTCGGAACTTCTGACAGGTGTGAGTTGAAGAATCAAGTTAAAAAAAAAAAATTAATAGTTTAGCTCAAAAACGAAAAGTCATACAAAATTGGAATTGCATATTTAAGGTTTGTATATGCCTGGGATGTTACAGCAACTTTTTCATCAAAATCAGCTAACCGAAAGTGGCACTTTATAATATCGATATAACACATTTGTTTATCAATGTATAATTAAGTAACCTTTAATATCATTTAGGTCTTATCCCTATTGATGTCGCTTAACAGAGCTTAAATGCCTAATGTTCAAAATGTCTGCCTCTAAAGTACCTTTAATTTGGTTTATTTTAAATAATTAACTATCTCTCATTGTCATCATTTGAAAGAATTTGATAATGGAATAAAGCAGAAAGAAAGAAAAATGTTTATCCACGCCGAAAATTAATTTCTGGAAACAATACTCTGAAGATATAAGTATAATATATCGTTGGAAAGCGGAGAATTTCAGAAAAAAATAATATCTAATAAATAAAGTTGTAGAAGGTAATGGAGATTGGCAAGAAAACACAAATAATAATTTCTGAAAACTAACATTATTTAACATAAATCACATGTTAAGGCAATTAAATGAAATTTTCTTACTAAATATAAATTTCTAAAAAAAATTTTAAGTTTAAAAAAAAAGTATTTAAAATTTACTGAATCAAGGCAATGATATTGTTTAAAATATCATTTCAGTGCAATTGTGTGAAAGAAGCAGTGAAATATAAAAATATTTCATGGATATGTTAATAACCTTAAATACATTTAATGTAGTCTATATCTTAAGTTCGTTTATTACTGAATTTTCCATTTGTGATATTCCAACAGTATCCACTTACAATTAGTGTGACAACTTTTTACCCAACTATTGCATGCAATGCAAATCTCGTAATTCCATTTCAGTAAACTTTGCAATGGAAAATAATAGTTTAATGACCAATAGTCGTACAATGCATAATCAAACGTTGATATAAAATATAGTATTTTTCTTATTTAAATGGTATTAATGCTTTGTTAGCTGTAAGCTTTAAGCTTTAGCTCGGTTAAAAATGCAATTCAAAAATTTTACAAGCCCAACATGGCCACAAAATAATTTCTATTCAAAGTTGAGCGGTAAGTGAAAGCTGTGTGTTGAGCGCACCAAATTTCAAAGTCCTTTTTGATAAAACTGGAATACCAAAAAAATGTTTAAATTTTTATTATCTACCTACCATGCACCGCTTCATAAAATTTCTAAAATGTATCATTATAATATAGTTTGTCTTTTAGTCATTCTTTTATTTCATCAAATGTCGTTTTTTCACTTCTAAAAGTTATAATAAATAAATAATTAATTAAAATAGAATGTTAAATTTTTTTAAAAAATATATATTTGTTCTCAATTTATGTATCTCTTTCGTAGACGATATTAAAAATGTTCCTCCTCACTAACGCATTCATGCAGGACTGGATTTATTTTAAAATGGAGTGGGGTGGAGGAGTTAGGGATCAGCTATTTTATCTGTTATATATCAGTATATTATATTTTAATTTTATCTATTGAGCTAGCATAAAAAGTATTTAAATTATCTACATCTGTTTGTTGATTTACCGATTGTTAGAGGTTTTTAGTTATAAATATCAATTCAATTATTCTTCGTTTGTTGGTATTCTGTTCTCTATGTATGACAGACGCTGTACCGAAATCAAATTTATGTCCATTTTTTGTGGTATGCTGTGATAATCCTGTGGCTAATTTTGATTTTGTTGTTTTAGACCTCTAATTTTGTTTTTGCTGTTGTATCCTACGTTCAAACCATTGTGAGGTTTGTCGGTAATATATTTTATTTTCACACAAAAAAAAAATTATAAAATAGAATTTGGACTATTTATATAACTGATAGTTGTTAAATTAATATGTGTTTTATAAGGATGTATTTTGAAGTTTAACAACTGAATTAAAATAAGTTTGCAGGATCTTGAAAATGGTTCCTGAAGCCGAAACGTCGAATAAATACTACAGGATATAAAAACTGTGTTCATTTGGTAACCTTTGGCCTAATATTTTATAAAAAACTTTTCTCAAAATTACTAAATTCAAAGGAACTCACATGGGATGCCAAAATAACAGTGTATAAAATCATTATTAGGCCAGTCGTGAACTACGGGTGTGAAACGTGGGTGTGGACCCGGGAAAGCGAGAGGTTGCTGAAAATTTGGGAATGGAAGGTTATAAGGAAAATATATGGTCTCAAAAGAATAAATGATAAATGGCGAATAAGAAAAATGAAGAGCTATATGAGCTTTATAACAATGACAATATTATTGCCACGGTCAAAAGGCAGATGGCTTGGCCATGTAGAGAGGATGGAGGAAGATAGATTTTACAATGATAGAACGATTTTAAAAATGTGTTAATCGGTAATATGAAGTCCCACCTCCGGTTAGTCGATTTTAAAGAGCAAATTGCTGTAACATCTCTAAATACTCAATTTCAGTTTCACACGCACGAACGAACGCACGCGCACACACATTCAGTGTATACATCAGCGTTAACTAAGTTTTCTTTTCTTTTTTTTTTTTAAACAAAATTTATTCTAGGACTAGGTCTCTTAAGAATAACAAATATGTAAAAAAAAAAAACATTATTAGCCAATAACCACATTCTTAATATTAAAATTATTTTACACAGTAAAAATAAAAAAGTCATCTCGAGAATACAAATAATTGTCTTGAAAAAAATTAATAAATAAAAGTAAGAAAAATAAAGACAAAATTAAAACTACGAATTGATTCCACATATAAAACTTTAATATTAATTTCAAATCAACAGTTCATTCTTAAATTAAAATTTCGGGATTGGAGAGTATCTTTTTGAGGTGTAGTTTGAAGGAGCCTGACGGGTATTAAATGTTAGGAAATTCTATAAAGCAGTAGTGCGGGCAAGAAAGGAACATTTGAAGGTTAGGAAATAGTATAAAGGAAATACGAGATTTTGTTTATTGAGATTGGAGAGTGGGTTTGAATTGTAGAAGACTGCAGATGTAGGAAGAGTGCCAAGATTTGGTAGTTTGTTGAAAAAATGGTCCTTGTAAATATTGTCGACGAAAGGAGAGGAAGAACCACTTTAACTTGCCATTAAGGTGAAATACATGCACTTTTTCAAGGATACTTCAATCCCGAAGGTTCATAATTAACTGTATGCTTAGGCTGTTGTTATGTATGCTCAGGACACCTATACCCAAATTAGCACTCGAGAAGGAACGATTGAAAGATATGAGAGGAAAGTTCTTTTCGGAGCGATCTAGGGTCAGAATACAGAAGGACGAATAAAGAACTATGTTCAAAAAATGGTCAGTTTATCTCATAGGGGATGTATTCCGAAACAATCTATCAGGCTCTATTTAATCTATTCTTACAGAGAAGATTATTCCTTACTTTCCAATGAAACCAAAAACGCTCACATGCTGAACATTAACTCAAGGAAGGATGATAAAGTTTTTCTCGTCCGAGTAAACGATAAATTATTAAATGAACGTAATATTTGAGAAAAAAAAATATCATTCAATTAAAATAAATGGACTCCCCTTAATTTTTTTAAATATGGAAAGCTATTGGCTCTGCCTTGGAGCCTCTCCTGTATAAAAAAAAAATTAGAAAACCCGGAACCCATTTCCTTCCCCACCTAAGTATACTACCGTCGTAGCCTATTTATAATGTAATATAAATTCTCCAAAATATGTCTGTTAAATATACATAGCGATAGTCCCAGAATAAGCTCTATTCATAGTAATAACATTGGTTTCAATGGTTGTAAAAATTATTTCACCCTTGTTTCTTGTTGTATCCATCTCGGAATTTAAAACCTCTTATGTCCAGACAATTAATACAATACTTCTCCCTCCTCGAAAGCTCTTTAAATTCCGGCTGATTAAATAACTACTTCAAATGATAAATTAAGTTTTTTTGAAACTGTTTAATTTGAACAAAAAATGTTTATTAAGGTATTTACGCTATTAGGCAACTTGTTAGGAAGGATGGTGGGAGATAGATATGGAGGGAGACCTCTTGTTCTGCTAGTGGGTATCACTCGCACTCGATCCGTTGGGGAAGTAGTAAGGAAGATGCCTGCCCTGTTTGGACTGGGCATGGATCATAGGTCTCCTTCAGGTACATGTTGGGATCATAGTTTAAACGGCCAACTAACCAATTAAATGCACCTTAACCATTACAACTTTAACTATTTCTGTAAAGAGAACGTTTTTCGCGAAATTTATTTCCGCAAGGTTTCTATATTTTTTTCTAATTTTCCCAATTTTTGTATCATTTGACCTATTATAGTTATTGAAATAGTATAAAAGTTGTCCTTTTGTTTTTAATAAATATGCTATTACTCCAATAACTTTGTGCCAATTAAATTATTAAAAAAAATACATCCATTATTACTAACGTTATGAACACTGTCTGTCACTGTTTTTGACTTTATTAACTAGACCATTTGGTCTATTATTAGGAACTGAAAATTTATTTCGATCCTCGTTTTATTTTGAGGTGGAATATTGATTTTTTTAATACGTTTGTTGATCTAATTTAAAATTCATATATTAAATTTGTAATGATGGACGAATATATCGACAGAGCCAGGTTGCAAAACTCTGTAAGTGAAAAAACTTTAATTATTTATATTAAATAAATCGCATATTTTTTATTTTATCACCAAGATTTTCCGTTAAATATTTCATATTTCATATATTCCATACTTAACTTGAAGATATGATGTTTTAAGTGACGTTTTTACTTTGTATTTCTGAATATGTGCGAGGTCTAATCTGATCACAAAACCTCAAAATCGTATATTCCAATAAAATATACTTAGGGAATTTTGTAGCATGGCTGTCTAAATACAAATATAAAAGAGCTATTTGTATTGTTTTGACTAACTCGCTGAAATTAAAAATATTTGAAAGTAATAATGATATTTTTTTTTCATGTAAGACTAATCTGGATTAGTTTAGCCTCTCTCCGGTTTAATTTTATATTATAGAAAAGTTCTTTTCAACCAGAAAATTTCTTTTCTACTAGCTGTAAATTAATGTTTCACTTTAAATATCGTAAGGAAAGAAATTCTGTTAATTCGTAGTATTAATTCTTAGTATCCTACTACCAGTCAACAACAATATATTAATATTAACTTTTGAAAACTATTAATGATAACTTCTTATACAAAATGAAATCTTACTGATGACTAAATTAACAACTTCATCAATTAATACTTTCATTCATACAAAAACTAACAGCAGGTTTATTCCAATCAAGCTATGCATGCAAAAGCATTGATTGGTTGGGAATATACCGACGGTAAGCAATAAATACTTCTTGACTCCACATTTGTGATTTTACAGCATAAACAAGTGTTCAAAACAATATTGAGTAATTTTTAAAATGTTTTATTTACTTTTTTATACGTAGTCAAGTCTTAGTGTTTTGCAGAGGAAGTCTACGGACGTTTCTGTGTAGTTTTAACTGTCATGAATGGAGCTCTGCGTTTTTCTAAGACTGGTGGAGTTACGAGGTTTTCATTGCCTACCCTCGGTATGTTGTATGCTCTACTGTTTATAAATTACTTTATTGCCTGTTAGGTGGCTACGTATAATCATTAACAGGTCATGGTTATATTTTGTCTTATATTATTTAATGTTTATAATTTATTTAAGGAAGTGTTTTGTGTTATTTTAGGTATAAAGCGTGAAACTTTTCTCTTCCGTATATTTGTCAATTTATTCTTTCCATCTTATTGTCTCTTTGTCCATCTTCAGAGAGGTTAATAAGGGAATAGTAATGTCTCTGTAGATGGTTATATTTTGATTTCTATTTTCTGGATCGCTTTTTATAATTGAAATTAGAATATTATTTATGAATAAATTTTTGATAATGTTTCTATCGCATTCTTCAGGAATGTTTTTATATACATTTATTCATCCTCCGTTCTTTCTTTTCGGAAAGGCGACCGATAGACTAGTGTTGCCAAAAATCGGTTTTGGTCTTGCACTTTGCAAGACCAAGATCAGGACTGGTAAAATAAATCGATTTTTTGAATAAAAATTTAGGCAAAATAGTGACTAATACTTGACAATCTCTGTTACTATATGTAAATAATAGGTATAACTATTATACTTTTGCATTTAACTCCTCTATTTTTTCATTCGAGCTTAGTTAGGTTTCTCCTCTAGTAACATCTCTATATTAATAAGCTAATAAGTGACTGCAAGACTGTTGCGAGACTCTTGCGCAATACCAAGACCAAGAACAAGATTGAATTTGCTAGATCAAGACTCGTCTCGGTCTCGCATTTGGGCAACACTACTATAGACTCTAGTGCCTAAACGGCTGTAATGATTTTAATTAAACTTGCTAAAGTCTTCTCTTTGAAGCCCTTTTAATTTATGGATATAACATCCTTCTCCGAAAAGAGTATGAAAAAAAAAATTCTAAACTATGTTTGCGAATATAACGATGTAATGTTTTAAACATTTAGTAATTTTTCATGGGAGATTTAGAGACCGATTGCTTCTTATATAGACAATTATATGTTGCTAATTATAGGGTTGGAAAACCAGACAATCTCTATATCTATGCAAAGAAAAGAACAACAAAGAATATCACATATCCATAAGTATTGTTACATAAAATATATTAGAAACATCTGATTTATTTTTTTATTTAACCAGAATTAGCCACAGCAACGCCTGGCCGCGTACAGCTATTAAGGGCATAAAAATGAAACAATCTTATCTTATACATCAAATATCGTTACAAGCGCATAATTTTCTGGTTTGATAAGGGAAACACTGTTAAAAGTTTTGACTTCGTTAAGGTTATGAAATGTCACTTAATGACTTTTTGCAATAAAACGACGATATCTTCCAGGCATGCAGTTTTATCGCAATGGACGCGACTAATGTATTAATCTATGATTGTTTTTTTTAATTCAAAATATATTAGTATTATGAACAGGTTTATTCATAATTTATTGTAATAAGCCTCTATTAAGCTATTGTCATATTCGGATTAAGCAATGACGGCTGATTAGACGAACCTTGATCAAGCGTGAGTAAAATGGTAACAATGTTTTTATTTCAGCTTTATTAACCGGATGTAGGTACCTATTGCTATTGCAAAACAATATTTTTTGTAAAAATAAATTATTTGTCAATATATACATATATAATTAATTTAGTGACCTCTATTTTTATAATTTAATTCATTATAATTTAATGAACAACTGGCCGAAGTATAACCAGCGCGAACAGACCTTTCTTCTCCCTTTCAAAGGTATTGAAATCCCGAAAAATCTAAAGAAATCTCAAATTAAGGCTATGATAAAGCCAGTTCTTATATATGGCTGTGAGACCTGGACACTAACTAGCACCCTAAAAAAAGTATTGAGAGAGAAAAATCCTTCGCACGATAACCGGGGCGATCTGGGATCAGCGGACTAACACTTGGAGAAGAAATATCAATAAAGAACTGCTTACAGAAACTGGTCAATTAATATCCCATGATATGAAGGCATGGAGATTAAGATGGGCGGGGCATGAACACGTAGGAACAACCCATCTGGAAGCCTCTACGTAACTACGAATGCCTTAATTGAAGGCAAAAGACCACGTGGAAGGCCAAAAAGCTGAGATATAAATAGAATCATCAAATATGCAATAGAGCTGCGTGCATATAACTGGAAAGAAATAGCCCAAGATAGGCAGAGATGGATCAGGCTTGTTAAGTCGACAAGAGATCTACATAGTCTGTAATATAAAAATAGAATTCGTGTCCTCAGTTGTTTTCTAAGTTCTGTTCTAGTTGGTTTTTTTTCTCTTTTTAAATAAGTATGTCTTAATGACGACGGTGAAAGATTAAATTAATCGCAGGGCATACATGATTGAAGAAAATATTAACATCATGAATGATATTTTTCCACTATTTTTGATTAAGTAGAGAATGGAATCCTTGGCATTTTATTTTTTTTATAATACTGGCTATCCTGCTGGATTATATATCATGACAATCCTTGTGATAACTTTTTCATCTTTTCTACATACGGGCAGACAAGGATTCTGCGGCCTCCCGAATATTTTTGGTCAATGACAAGAATTCACGCCTACCTGTGTTTATCAAAGTTAGTAAACAACATATAAAAGGCAAACCTAAGTAACAATATTGACCACTCTACGTGAAATATTTATCATTTTATTTTAGTTCATTAATTTCAATAATGAACTTTTGTACTTCGCCAAGAAAAGCATATTTTAACTTCTACCAACTTTTTATAAAAGAAGTAGAATCCGGAAAATCAAATAAAAAACCGTTTTTGGCTTTTTCCAGAGGCTATTTACCCATTTTTCTTTTTTATCTGTCACCAAAGTCTTGATAATCCTCGGTACGTGACTTCATTGTCTGCCTCTTCGTTTGATGACAGCCGATGAGAGTTCTCTAGGCCTCTTTATTTAGATTTCCCACCAAAATTACCCCAGAACGGTCATCGGTCATTATCCATTCTCTTTTTTGTTACTAAATGGGGACCAAATAGTGGCTTCATATGCCGGTATCCCGGCCTTTAGAGGAAAATTTTTAAGTATTTTGCAAAAATAAGTCTACTTTAAAAAAAAAATCCTAATATTTTAATTCAACGTGATTTTTTGCCTTCTATTGAGGCATTCATTGTTTATGTAGAGGCTTCCAGATGGATTGCTCCAAACTATGTGCTCCGCCAATCTTCATATCCTTGTATTTGTCCAGTTTCTGCAATCAGCTTTTTATTGATCTTTCTCCTCCCTGTGTTAGCACTCTGGTCCCAGATGCTTATTTTGTGAAAGTTAAAAATATGAAAATAATAAACTGTTATATAATAATTTGTTGTCTGGGTTAACTAGTTTAGAATAATAAAGAGTTAGAAATAATAAACCATGGTGTTAAAATCATAGAGTTTTTGTTCGAATCATTAAAACTTCCTGTTGTGAAAAATAATCATTATTTTTTTTCAGTAATAAATGAAGAAAATAATTTTACATTTCCATTATCTGATCATACTCGATATTTTAACAATGCTAGCTGGTTCCAACGGTTTACTTCACTCCTTTGGAATGGCCCCTACATTTTATTTGGACAGCTGA